CAACGCGTCCAACCCAACGGAGCTTAGCATTGGGGTGCACGCCTGACCAAGGTGATCTCAATAGCGAACAAAACCAGACTTGTGTAGCAAAAGTGTGCCCTCTTGAATCCTGGACGGCATGAGTTTGAACTGAACCCTAGCTAATATATTCCCCCCCTCGAGTTTCTTTTTTTTCCCTGTCAATTCCAGTCGGGGATTCCCTGATGCGTACTGGGTGCCCCCCCCCCCCGCCTCGTACAAGAGACCAAGGTTCAAAATGCCGGGGCTTCCGGTAATACTTGCACCCTAGGTCACTTGCTAATATCGTCATCTAAAGCCAGGACTTGAAGACTCGGATGTAGGCCATCTTGACGAACTGCACAATGATGCAGTACGCAACGAGCTCGGCAGCCAGGATGCCGACGAAGGTGTCTGCAGGCCGGACCATGTCCAAGATCGGCCAGAAAGGTGGAATGTATGGCACAATAAATCCGATCAGCATGATGCCGCAGGTCGCGAACACCAGAATTGGAGCTGCCCTGCTTTGGAACACAGGAATTTTAGCCGTACGCAAAAGATGTACGATGAGTGTCTGGGTCAGGAGCCTGCAACTGGGTTAGACGGTTCTTGTCACAGCCATCACATGTACTCACCCTTGTAGAAACCAATGTGTTTGGAACAGAGAAACTGCCGACGCGTCGTCCGCAGACTGGATGCCATAATAGAACCAACCAATGCAGAAGGTGCACATGTCGATGGTAGAGCTCGTTGGGCCGAGAACGATGATGAAACGCAAGAGATCTGTGACTGTCAGTAAATAGACCTAGCCCAACATCTCACGTGCTGACCAACCTAGGGACGCCCACTGCTTGGGCTGCTCCAAATATTCGTCATCCATTCGGTCCCATGGAATCGCAACTTGGCTGACATCGTATAGAAGGTTCTGAACCAGCAGTTGTAAACTGCTCATCTGTAATGAAAGGTCAGTCCACTGCACAAGTCAAATGTCCTCCTTCACTGACTGGTGTAAACGGCAGCCATGAACTGGCAATCAAGATGCTGAAAACATTTCCAAAATTGGAGGATGCCACCATCTGTGGATCTGTTAACCACTTTCACCAATTTTGAGCAACAGAAAACCCACCTTGATATACTTGATCGAGTTCCCTTGCGTGACACGCCCGACTCTGACACCGTCTGCAATGATGTCCAGGCCCTTTTCGGTCAATATGACTTGTTGCGATCAGCAAATGACGACATGTCGTGCTCATGTATGCTCACCATCAGCAGAATCCTTTGCAGCTCGGGTACCGGAGTCAACCGAAACACCAACATCAGCAGCTCGAAGAGCAATGCAATCGTTGACACCGTCGCCGAGCATGCCCACGCAGTTCCCGGCAGCCTTCAGTCGGTTGACAATCTGCGCCTTTTGCATCGGCGTGAGTTTGGCGAAGACTTTGCATTTCAGTACCATCTCGTCATACTCATCCGTGCCCTCGAGCCGAGCGAGCTCTGGGCCCGTGATGGCCTGGAGATCGTCATGATCCACCATATCCACGAGATTGATAGCTTGGCAGATATTGACGGCTACGCCGAGATTGTCGCCTGTCAGGATCTTGACCTCAACGCCCGAAGCCCGAAGGCGAGCTACAGACTCAGCGGCATCGTCTTTCACCGGGTCCAGGAACGTCAGCATCCCCTCCAAGGTCATATTCGACTCGATATTCTCAAAAGAGTCTTCGTCATCGTGAACAAAGTCCGGAATCTGTCGAGTGGCAACCAGGAGAACACGATAGCCGGATACTGCCAGTCGGCCGGCTTCAGCTGTAAGGGCTGAGCGAGTGGCCGCGTCGATGGGCTCGTCCTTAATGCCACGGCGGACCCGTATACAAAGGCCAAGGATTTCTTCGAAGGCACCCTTGCAGATTAGCATCTGCGCCTTGGTAATCCCTCGGACGATGGCTGCCGAGCGACGACGCTCAAATGTGAACGGACTGACGGCCACCTTTTCGTAAAAGGGTATATCGACGTCTTTAGCAATCTCGTCACGATACTTGATAATGGCGGCATCCATGTTATTCCCCTGATTTCCCTGGGAGAATGCGTTGATGTAGGCGAGCTGGAGCGCGCCCCGATGGTCAAGCCCTGCGCAGTCAACATTGTGGCGCATCACAACCTCATCTTTGGTGAGAGTGCCAGTCTAATCCTGTATCAGCGAGATGCTTGGCCGTAGAAATGAATTGACTGACCTTATCACTGCAAAGAATTGACATTGCACCCAGATTCTGAATGGCGTCGAGACGCTTGACGATGGCCTTTTTCTTAGACAGAATGTGTGCTCCGCGGGCGAGATTGGTGTTGACGATGGCTGGAAGCATCTCCGGAACCAGACCAACTGCGACGCTGATACTAAAGAGCGCAGCCTGGCCCCAGTCTCCGGTCACTTTACCAGATATCGCGAGAACCTATCGACGCACTTAGCGGGCTACTATGCTGAAGGGAGAAAGACGTGACATACGATAGGAACCATGACAAGCATGAACCCAATCAACATATAGGAAACGTTTCTGATCCCTCGTTGGAAGGCATTGAGATCGCGCCTCTTCGACAGTTGCTTCAGAGTGGATGCGATGAAAGTGTCTGCAAGAACGGTCGATGAGCTTTGCTAATTGAGTCCACGAGCACTGTCAGCCACTCACCATTACCAGTCCCGATAACCACAGCAAGGCCGCTTCCAGACACGACACTGGAGCCCATGAAAGCTACGTTTGTAAGATCGAAGAGGCTGATGTCGCGCGTCTTTTCGTCGCCAAAGGTGGCCGGCGCCTTCGTAATTGGCATGCTTTCGCCGGTGAGGCTCGATTGACTGATGCGAAGGTAGTTGGTTTCCAGAAGAATGCAGTCGGCAGCTATGGTATCCCCGGGGGAAAGAACAATAACGTCTCCTGGAACGACGTTCTTCTCATGAACAAGCACATCCGTCGGGAGTTCTGGCGACGCTCCGGCGGTCGAAGGACTGCGGCGTACCTTCACATCAGCTGTGACGGAGCTCTGGAGCTTGGCGACGGACATGATGCTGCGATATTCTTGCCAGAATCGGACGGCAGATGAAATAACAACCATTGCCATGAGCACGGCAAACGTGTCCTGGTTGAGTGTCAGCTTATGTCTCCTAACGTTGGTAATTGTGATGTGTACCCAGCTGCGTCCCGGGGAAGCAACGCTGATGATGGCAATGAACGTGAGGAGCAGGTTGAAGGGGTTCGGCAGCACCAGAAGCAGCAGCAGCCACCATGACGGCGGCTTCTTGGACGAGACAATGTTGAGGCCATGTATTTTGCGGCGGTCGGCAGCTTCCGTAGTCGTCAGGCCATGGCGAACAGAGTGAAACTCGGCCAGTAGCTGGATCTCATCCGTCTCGGCGTACTGTCTGATCCTTGACTCCGCGGAATCATTGCACGTCACAGGGGATCCTATACCCCAGGCTTTCGATCCTGCCCTAGTCAGCAATGAACTAGGTGCATGATAACTCGCTTGCTTGAACGAACCTTTTTTCTGCCCCACCATGCTTCGAATCCGCTGTGTCATGTTGTCGAACATTGTGGCTGTGATCGCCCGTTCGCACTTTGGTTCGGTTGAGCTTGTTCATCGAAATCGAATACGCGATCTCAAGGAGGGCGGTAACGGGTCGGCTGCAGAGTTCCGGCAGCCAGTTGGTTCCCAAACGTTGCGTGATCGCGTAGCGCCAGCGTAGCGGCCGTTCAAGTCAGTATAAGAGTATTGGTGGACTTCTTCCGTTCGTTCGCAGCTGCGTCTGAGTTTGTTATTTCGATGGAATGACGGTGTGAAGGGGGGGCTGGGCGAGTTGTTATAACAAGGCCTTGCTGGCGCCGCGAAGCAGTCAAATTTTTTCAATCAGACAAGACTTATGCTAAGGCTTGGTTATCATGGCATCTCCACGTTGCGGCTGAACTTTGGTCGACATTTTGATGTAAGTCGTTGCATCGGCCCGAGAATCTTGGGTGGACGCGCGTCGCTTGGCAACACGGCACACTACTGAGATACCAATTGCCTGAGCGAGTAGTTTTGACGAACCTTAAAGTCCGGGCTAAGAGTCATACTCAGCCAACAGACGCTATTATGACTATTATAACGTGAACCGTCAATCCGGATCGTACGATGCCTCATGTGTAGACTGCATAAGTGCCCAGGCCAGGCAGACGAGGGGCGCGCCGCACGGTCTGCTCATCATTACTGCGTCTAATTTCTGCCGTAGAGTGACTAAGAGGCTGCGCAATCAGCTAGTTGAAAGTATAGAGATAGAGCCTGCCTAATTACTTCTAGCCACAGAGATCGTGTTCGCCATCATGAACGCTTACTAGGTGGCTTTCCGGAATTTCGGCATAGAAGTGGTTCAAGGAGGACCCATGCCTCTTTCTACTTCGGATAGGACACGGCTGTGTTCGGTCTGATGCGTCAGTACTCGTATCCAACTTGAGTTTTCGGGCTGGGTATTTACTCGGAGAGTGTCAGTGCGTCCTGCCATATGAAAAATGAATGTGCAATCGTCCTAATGCAAGGCTCATTTGTATAATAATTGACGCAGGCACGAATAAATGGGGGCATATAAGGTTCTGTGGCTATGCAGCGTGTGCCGTATCATGCGGTTATGGATCCAGTCCTTTGCTTCGCGTAAGTACCGAGATACTCCAGCAACCGGAAATCTTCTTGCCGTGATTGAATGACTATTGCCCCTGCTTTTACACGATAGCCTGATTTCATCCGCGCCCTTGTACAACAGCTCCGCATGATGCATGTATCTATCATAGCGTTTACACGGTATCTCTTCCTCCTCAAGAGAGAAGCCATCTCTCGGCCGTCGAAAGCTTCGAGAAGAAGAACTCCAGAGAATCGAAGAACGTTTCCAAAGACATACAACGTCATTACATATCCCAGACAGATCGGGTCTCTCCGGAGCCACGGAATCGAGCAGTCTCACGATGGCCCGTCCCCAGGCCTCAGCGCTGGAACACTGCTACATCTCTTGGATTAGTTCAGGAAGGACGTAACCTATTGTTTAGCTACCAGCGTCCGAATTACACAGAACAGGAATTCTGTCTGAATTCTGTCTGATAATAATCCATTGATTGAAACGATCAAGAGCTGATCAATACTTATGGGTAACACAACGACGAAGCCATCGATATGGTTGGAGCTTCACTGCAACATCCGCCCTACACAAGCTCCTGTACACTACAGGCAGGACATGGTGCCGAACAGGTGCAATCCCAGCCTCCAGTGCATTATCGGCTTGGCAAGACTCAAGCATTATCGCCGCCAGAGGATTTGGCCGTCCTGTTGTCTCGACCGCGCAAGCTCGGGTCGTCAGCCTGACGCAACTCCCATTCCTAAGCGACCCGGCGGTCGGGATCGCGATCGCCAAGATGTGTGTTCCCCATGGGGTATATATGGGTTTCTTCACGCTATCTCTGGAGGATGTGAACAAACGCACACCTCCGTCTCAGCCACAACGTCGCAGCCATCAGATTGTACAAGACACCTCTTTTTCTGTCCTTCACAAACGAACAGTACGAGCAATCCCAAAAATACACCACCGCAACCATGTACGCCCTCGCCCTGTCCGCCCTCTTGCCCCTCGCCTCAGCCGGCCTCATCAAGCGCTGCACGCCAATCTCCGACCCCGACGTCGCGGGCGGCGTCATCCCCCCCGCGCCCTGCTGGTTGACCTTCAACGCGGCCTGCGAGCGCTACATCGCGCCCGACACGGAACTCACGATCGACGAGACGCACAATCTCATTGTCGTGCACGGTATTTCGGAGGAATGCGTCGCCGACATTGAGGAGGAGCACGCGCGCGAGGAAGACGGACGCAAGACCTTTGGATGGACCGAGGAGCACGGCAAGCTGCACCCGATCGGCGACGGCATTCTCGTCATCTCGGGCGTCGCCGACGAGACGATCCAGCAGTACCAGTCGCTGACCCTCGAGGGAGAGGCGCCCGCTGCGCCTGAGGGCGAGGCGCCCGCCGAGGCTGCGGAGCCTGTTGTCGGCCAGGGAGAGCCCGAGGGTGAGGCCGCTGCTGCTGCTGCCCCTCCCGCCCCTGCCATGTGAGACAGGATGAAGAAAGCGGCAGAGGTGTCGAGCGACTGGAATGGGAGGGAATGATGGGATCTGGGGGGATGCATCGAGATGGGAGAATTGGGGCACGACAGTGTACTGGTTATGTAGAAATGAGATGGAATTCGCTTGACGCAAGATGTGGTATTCGTGATTAGTATTGCGCTCAAGCCGAGTAGTTGACGAGCTTCTTCGTCTCGGCCACGGTTCGCTCCCAATCCTTGTCCGTCGTGAGACTCTTGGCGATTCGGATGACCTCATTGAATTCTGTCTGTGTGACTTTATTGACGCTCAGCCGCGACTGTTTGAGAAGCTGCATGTCTTTCAGCGGGCTGTCACCAGGGAGTTCCTTGATCAAGCGCAAGGGCACGATGGCGGGGAACTTGTGTTCAATTTTCACGTGGACGAGGCTCCATTTGCTGCCGTCGTGAGGGGCCGAGGCATCATAATAGGGATTGTCGTTGATGCAAGCGTTCCCTAGGCTGGTTAGTGTTTCGGAAGACCAGGAAGCAGTGAGAGGCGACGTACAGTCTGGCGAGTGTTCCTTCACGATGGTCATGAGGCCAACAACGCCTGGTTCTTTACAGTTTGAGTGGTAGAAGAAGGCCTTGTCGCCCTTTTTCATCTGCCGCAGGTTGTTTCTAGCAACGTAGTTGCGTATGCCTTGGGGACATCAGCCATTGTAAGGTGGAGCGCAGACAGAACAGCAGACGGCCCAGCTGAAACTCACCATCCCATCCTTCGGGCATCTTTCTCTCGCCAAGGTCATCGATTGAAAACTTGATCTCGTACCCGTCCTCGATGCGAACGTCGGGCTCGGATTTCATGAGCCAGAACATGGGCGCATCGGGTGGGTCGCGCGCCGGTCGATCGGGGTTGACATCAGGAACGTCATGGTAGGCATCACGTAGCGCCTTGAGCTCGTCGATGGATTTTCGCGGCGGTGCCGTCTTCTTGGACGCAGCTCCAGATTTCTGCAGACGAGGTTAATGACAGCTTCATCTGGCCAACAGCACAGCACCTAGCGTTTTCCGTTGACTCCATGGAGGAAGACCGACCTTGGCGGGCTTGGCGGGCTGGGCAGCTTTGGGTTCTGGAGAAGTGCTCTTTGGTTCAGCCTTGGGCTCTGGTTTCGCTTTGCCTCTTGGTGCTGGCTTCGACTTCGTGGCTTTTGTGCTGGGCTTCGAAGTTGCTGCGTGACGCTTGGCAGGCGGCGAGTCCTCATCAGACGCGTCGCTCTGTCGCTTCCGGGTCTTTGGCGGTGGTGCGGCCGGGACGGACTTTGATGTGTCTTGCCCAGCAGCGACCTGACTTCGAGTGAGCCTCACCATGGTTGACGCAATTGGTGATTGATCGTAGCTGATGAAGCTGGGGTCTTGATGAGACGAAGCCCTGATGGATGCTGGGCAAGCGCGTCGTCGAGACGAACTGATGTCGCGTCATAGGAGCACAGGTGGTCACAGCTGGCAGAAACCTCGGGCGCAATCGGCTCCCTCTGCAGCTGCTGTCAGCGGTGCCTTCAGCTGTCAACGGTACCCTCAGCTGTCAATCAACGGTGCCTTCAGCTGTCAACGATGCCCAGCGCGCGAAGGCCAGACCCCGCGGCTCCCGACGTCGGCTTGCCTCGGAATGGCGGGGTCAGAGCCGGTGATGCTTCGACTACCTGCCCGCCCTCTCCCTCTGACTTCGTCTCTATCATCTGCTCTGTCTACCACCACTACCTACTGCAGTCGGCACCTACCGCCACTACCTACTTCGGTCAGTGGCACGTTGATCATCCCGCGACTGGCAAATACGCTCTCGCATATCCTCGAAACCTCACCTTCAGCAACATCGCTCCAACGAGCATCCGAAACCATGGCGACCGAACTCGAGCACCCGCCCTCCTCCTACGCCCACCTCCTGCCCCCGAGCTGGACGACCCAGGTGACAGCCTGGCTCGCCGAAGACACGCCCTCCTTTGACTACGGCGGCTTCGTCGTCGGCGAGGCGCCCCGCACCGCGACCCTCTGGGCCAAGTCCCCTGGCGTGCTCGCCGGCGTTCCCTTCGCCACGGAGACGTTCCGCCAGTGCGGCTGCACGAATCACCTGGCACGTCCCCGAGGGCACGCTCCTCGCCCCCCAGCCAGGCGCCCCGCTCGCCGTCGCCTCAGTCGCCGGGACCGCGAGCGGTGCTCTGCGCGGCTAGCTATTGATCCGGGAAAACTGATATTCGACGCTGGTATTTTTACGGCGTACGGATTACGGTCGGAGGAGTCTATAGGGGGGATTAAGATTAAAATCTATGATAAGTTAATATAGTTTTAATAGTTTGTCTTGTGTTTTTATTCGGTTATTAGTTTGGGTTACACTTTTACTT